CCTATTTCTTCCGTTGGATCCATTCCCGGTTCCAAAAGCTAGTTTCGAACCCACGACTCGCTCTCCACCAACCATCTGGCTGCCGTCCGCAGTGTCTCCATTGGTTATCTTTCTAGCACCACCCAAAAAAGATTTCCGAGGTTACAAGTTGTTGAAAGGGACTATATAATATGTACAGAAATAACAATTATTCAAAATCAAAAAGAAAAAATGACCTTGTTTTACTATAATATAACTATTGATCAATATTTGATTAGGTTTACTCAAAAACAAATAATCAAAAATAAGTTAGTCTAGCTTAGAATAGTTTTTTGCGTTTTTCTGAAAACTTTTAAAATGTCGTTTGCCTCCTTTCAACAATAATCGATTCAAATATTTGTTTATTTGGAGAATAATTGCAGTTAATTATTAAAATTTTTTTTTTGTAATTGCCATTTGTTAGATTAGGCGATAGATTTGGCAATCGTCAAATCAGCAGTTGCCAGATTGCAACAGATGTTCAATTAATCTCGAACGAGACAAATATTTACTTGTTATTGTTGCATATAAATTAAAATTGCAGAATTCATAAAACATTGTAATCAAAATGTTCTTTTTAAAAGCTTTCTCTGTTTATATTTGAAAACATTCCAACACTTCCAAACCGAAAAATATTATTTCATGGTTGACATTTGCGTCTATATTCAGCTTCGGTAAACTTAGACGTACGATATACGATCAACAATGAATAAATGTACGATCATTTCTGAATGTTCGCCACTTGCTGAAAATCGCGCGCACGGGCGAGTGATTTTCAGCAAGTGGCAAGAGGATTTAATGTTTCCGTTTATATCGTACCCTGACTTTGTTTAGATATAATTTATTTGATCGGTGTTTAGTTTCCTATTGTGAGTTTATTTTTAAAATATCTTACCTTTCTTCACAAGTGAAAATAAGGGGCCTTCAACAGGTGAAAAACTTGTAGGTAGGTAATTAATTTATATTTTGGATTCTGGTAAAGCTTTTTGTCGTACGTGCAATAATCTTATGACTGCCGAAATTACAGTGATAAAAATCACTTAAAATCAGCTAAGCATATGCGAATGGTTAAAGTAATACCAAAAACTAATATATCTACTATATTTAAAAAAGTAGAAAATCCGTTAGAAACGCAAATAAAGAGAACGAAATTAAAACTAACGAGATTTTTAACTGAGCATAATATTTCATTCAGATGCGCTGATCATTTAACAGACATTTTAAAAGAGTATTTCTCCGATTCTAAAATCGCAAAGGGAATTCTACATCGAACCAAGGCTATAAAAAATGAAACGAATGTAATTGATTTTTGCCGCGAAGAAGAAATAAACGCGCTTTTAAAAATCACAAAATTTAGTATGATAATTGACGAAGTAACAGAAATTGCTTCGGTGAAAACTTTGTGCATTTGTGTTCGTTTTTTTATCGTAAATTTGGAAAAATTGTGAATCTATTTTGGAACCTTATTCAGATCTTCTCTGAAAATTAACCCAATCGGGCAAATATAGGAGCTACATCTGACATATTATTTATGGCTATACAGAATGAATTTTCATCTAAAAAATTCCTTTCACTAACATTGGGTTTGGCTCGGACGGATGCAATACGATGTTTGGGAAATATATTTCTGTTGCAAGTAAAATAAAAGATGCTCTTCCAGGAGTTATGGTTCAAAAATATATATGCCATTCAAATCATTTATGCGGAAGTGAGGCTTGCAAATCTTTGCCGAGATATGAGGATATAGATAGAAATATATATAATTTGTTCAAAAATAGTGCAAAAAGACAGGCTACATTTAAATAGTTTCATGTCTTTTGTAATGTAGATCCTCACCAAATATTGCGACTAGTACAAACCAGATGGCTTTTTTTGTACGTAATGCAAACAATATTAGAACAGTGGGAACCATTACGGATATTTTTTACCTCCACTTATACTGAGCATCGAGTTCTGGCCAGTAAGAAATACATAATGACCTTAATTACAAAGCAATAAAACTGTTTTATTTATTTTTAGAATGGGTTTTGCCGAAATTTGTGGATATGAACAAATAGTTATTTAAATAAAGATTTATTAATGGCGTACATGGAACCTCAATATGTAAGTCAAGCATATCTGGACAAAATTGATCCAGCAAATAAAGCAAAATTCAATTCTCTAAATAATATCTATCTCGGAATTGGCGTTCTTAGAAATATTAAATGATTTAGAAAATAATATTAAGCAAGATTTTTATGAGAGATGCAGACGCTTTTTCATTAATTCTTGTTTAGAAATTAAAAAGAGGTATGACTTTGCAGATCCTATTTTTGGCAAACTAAGTATGTTAGAAAAATGCGGTATTAAACACTTTTTCCAATAATGGAATTAATACCAGGTATTTGTGATCCACAACAAGACTTTGATAAAATGCAGAAAATAGATGATCATTTGAGAACTCTTCAACATTTAAAAGAGCCGCCATTTGAAAATTTTGATTTATTTTACTGCAAGTTTACAAATTTAGAGGGTAATTATTTGTTTAGAGACTTGAGTGAATTTGCCGTGTGTGTTTTATTAGTGCAAGCTGCGAACGAATTTTTTCTAAAGTAAATTTAATAAAAATTAAAGTCAGAAATAAAATCATTACCGAAACAAACGGAATTATGCACTCATCTCAGCGTATTAATTTGGATAATAGATGTGTAAGTTTCAAACCTATAGATGAAATGATAAAATCCATGACATCCTTTAAAATGTATGGACAAATTGCAAGATCAAGATCAGAAAGAACTACAAAAAGAAATTATTTTTGAAACTTTAGCTGAACAAGCATAAGTAGTTTGTAACGATAAGACTACCAAAGAGAATTGAAGTACTATTGTAAAAATAATACCTTAATCAACCATGGAAGCTTATCGACTATACCTTGCCTAGCTCAGTATCTCAAGGGCGAGTTCGTCTTGTCTTAAACTAGGGATTGAACCTGAGTTCTTAGTTGATAGCAAATAAGACAAATTTTAACCAAACATATTTATTAAAAAGAATAAAGAACAATAATTAACCCTGCCAAAGCTTAACAATTGATAAGTGATACTTATTGCTTCGATCGATGGACTGCTTGTGTGTTCTAGCTGTTAGGTTCTTATTTAGGACATAAAGTGTATCAAAAACCTACACACACGGACAGATACCTAAACAGGAACTAATCATCATCCAAGTCAAAAACAGGGTATCATCAAAAGTCTGGCGGAGATGGTGAAGAGAATTTGTGAACCACAATATCTCCAAAGTGAACTTCTTCATATTGGAAAAGCGCTCACCTCTAATGGGGTTATACTAGAAGAGAAATACATAAAGCGATGAACAACGTCTCTAGAAGAAAGGACGAAGAAACAGAATGTAAAGGCAAAGCGTTGTTGCCCTATATATCGGGGGTAACAGACAGACTTGAGCGAATACTTAAGAATGCCAACGTAAAGACCATTTTCAAGCCTACAAAGAAAATCAAGGAGTGTTTAAGATCGGTGAAAGACAAACGCGACCCATTAGCAACGGCCGGAGTATACCGAATACCATGCATATGTAGAATGGTATATGTGGGAACCACAAAACGACACACAAACACAAGGATAAATGAACATAAAAACCATTGTCATTTAGGACATATCGACAAATCTGCCGTTGCCGAACACTCTTTGGGAAGCGGAGAACATCGGATATTGTTTGAAGAAATACAGATGCTGGACAAAACTTCACAGTACTACCCACGGTTCCCATCGGGAAGCGGTGGAAATGTATAAGCCCGAATAAATAATTAACAAGACATGGATACCAATATTAAAATCCACAAACGCCCTTCCCGCCAAACATGAAGAACGAAAAGCTACTACAAACAACGACACGCCTCCTCTAGCCGAAACCAGTGGAGGGGAGGCAAGTGGGAGATATAAATAGTGCCTCCGTGGTACAACGCGGCGTCAGTTTCTGCTTACAAGCGAAGCATTAACATCTCCAGAAGATGCCAACCCCTAGTGTTGGCGAAACGTCGAGAACTAATCTCAGAAAACAACGGCCTAACAGCCCGAACAAACAGTTTATTAACAAGTTAGACGATGGCCGTGAAAGCCTAACGCAGTTTATCAGATATGAAATTGTTAATTAAACCATTATATTTTTTTGTTAACAATCTACATCCTTCTTTAACCCTTAACTACTATATGTCAAAAGTAATTTTACAGGTATTATAAGTGGGTATAAGACCCACTTTTTATATAAAGAAAACAATTTTTTGATAATTTTTTTCTTTATAAACTAAGATTACAAAATGAAGTACCATAAATGGTTTAAACACAACTTCAAGTTCTTCTTCTTCGATGGTCAGATCCATCGAACAATCCGCCGGCAAGTATACCAAAACTTGTTTTGCCAAATTGGCGACTGTCTGACCGAGCACACAACTTCCGAACAGGGGACCGTCAGATACATTGCCGAGCTCCTGATCGGACACACATTTTTCCGGGACCCAAAGTCAACTCAATAAATTCAGTATAGTAAATAGGGAGAAAAGCTACCTGTACCGTCAGGTAGCCTAACCACAAGTCAAGAAAAACGGAGGGCGTTTTCTTTTCCCAAAATCGTCCGACGTAATAGTTGATAGCCTCCTCTACGTATGTCAGATGTAGAGGAGAGGTGGAGGAAAAACCTGGGTGTCAGATAGGTACCGAGCCAAAATGATTTTCTCTTTTGGAACGAGACCGGTCTGATCTTCGGACATGGAGGCCCACTGACTAGCAGTGGTACTCTCCTGTTCCTAGGGGTTGGGATGAACTAATGTGGGTGTAATAAATCCAATAAGGACCTAAATTTAACATTGGGATCTATTGAAGACAAAATCAAAGACGTGACAACATCGCCGCCGCCTGTCTCTATGCTTCCAAAGCACAAAAAGTAACATCCGACCAAGTTGCTCATGCTGAACCAACGCTGCTAACATCTCCATGGCAACGACACATGTGCAGAAACCGGCATTAAAGAAAACACAAAATGTCGGCGATTTCTCGCAAAATGTAAACAACGGACAAAAATATACATCAACTAAAGGTGCAAGAAGCGAAAACGCTAACGCGAATCCTAGCAAAATGTGGTTTTACATAGGCAAAGATGCAACAGTCACGAATGACATTATCAAGAATTATATACAAAGAAAATTGGATAACCTCAAGGTTGAAAATATGATGGCGGAGCAGCTAAAAACCGTGGGCAATACTTTAAACGTGGGCTCTTATAAAGTAGGCCTACCTATAGAATTTTATGATGTCAATAATAGTGATTTCTCGCCAAAAGGAATCATTTTTAGACGTTTTAACTTCAAGAGAAGAGTTTTTAACTCGGAAAACTACAAGATAGACGACAATCAAGCAGGTATAACTCGGAGATTTCTGTTTATTATCAAAATGTGAGAGGTTTCCACACCAAATTAAATGATTTTTCATCATCTGTTATTGCCAACGATTATGATGTGCTACTATTAACCGAGACCTCTCTGTATAGAGGATGGAGAATTGGAAATTTCAGAGTATAATATATACAGAGGGGATAGCAATGAAAATACCAGCACAGCTAAACGTTTGGGTGGTGCTCTAATTGCTGTAAAAACGGAATTTGTTTCTTCAGTAAGCACTTCAAAATCAGCAAATTATCAACATTGAAAGTGCTTATGTAAAATTGCAAACACCAAATCAAAAAATCCTTTTTTTTTCTGTGTATATATACCACCATCATCTCCATTAAGCGTTTATGAGGACTTTATTATGGCAACTGAAGATATTATTCAAAATAATGACTTTTCAATGCCCTATATAGTGGATGATTTTAATCTGCCAAACATAGTTTGGGAGAACGAAGATCTAGGATCAAGACCAGTTGGTAATATTATACGGGCTTTACACCAACAATAAATTCACGAAGAAATTCATGAATTTATTCATCAATTTCTGTGTCAATAAATTCATGAATTTCTTGAACGTAAAAGTTTCTTTGACTTCAAATATATTTTTACATCAAGTGCCATTATTTCAGTAGTACCAATGGTTTTATTATTGGATGTTATTTATTGATGTATGTTTGAATCATAGATAAATAATTATAATATTAGAAAGTTTAAATAAAGATATATTTGGATTTGGAAATATAATCAGTAAACAATATTGTTTTAAAAAGAAAATAGTGATTTAGATTGCACAAAAAATTGTACTGAATTTGGTAAAGAGTAAGAGCCTGAACAAGAGGTAAAAATTAGTGGAAATTACATTTATAATTCGTGAAAACTGTTGATTTTAGACACAGAAGATAATTTCAAATAACTTTAATAAGGACAGCATAGCTAAAGAAACAGGAAAAGTGGTAATTAAGAAAATCTAGCATTAATTACAGACTAAAATTAACTGTAGTTAGTATAAATGTTAATCAATTCATTGTGACTTTTAGAATGATGAAAGTCTTTATTTAAATACAATACCTACCTGCACCAAGTCGAAATAAAGAAGAAAGAAAGCTACAATACTTTTTATAATCTTTTAACCACTATTCATAATATATTCTCAAGAGATATTTACCTAATATAAATAAATAACTACAGTTATTGTTAGAATATTGAGATGTGTAAAATTCTAATCACAAAGAGAAGTTGCAAAGAAATGAATACTTAAAAATAAATAAAAAATGGAAATAACGAGTAATACTTTACCACTATTTTGTGAGCTGATTCTTTACAATTTTAATGATTTGTCTTTAACATATTACAATTTGCTTTATTGAATGGTAGGGTAGGTTAGGACTAAACTAAATAGGTGTATAAGAATACAATAATTTTTAAATATTATATAATTTAAACAATAAATGAAGAATCATAATAAGAGGAATAAAAGCTAGTTTTAATATTTGTTATACACAAACAACTATGATTTTTTTCTAAATAAAAAACCGTATACAGATTTTATCCGTAGGATATGGAATCCTGCATTTTTAAAGAAAGATAGTCAATTTAAGAAGGAAACTATGAATAATAAAGTATCAGAATAAGAAGAATGAATAAGAAAGAACAGAATTAGTAGTAGTCCAACGTCTACAGCCTACAACGTAGCACAACAGAAATATGTCGGAGAAATGGAACTTGTGACAACATCATTAAAAAGAAAAAGATTTATTATGTTAAAAAATTAAATTATGCAATGAAAAATTTAATAAAAAATAAAAAAAAGTTATATGTATAATAATGATTCTTCTGAGGTTTTCCCATAACACAAAAATATTTTAAATGGCTCTGAAATACCTTCAACTTAAGAAAGTTCTATAATGTCTATTTAGCATCTTCAAAATTGCCTCCATTTTGATTTTTTAATTGAATCATTTCAACTGTATAGCCACTTTCATTATCTAAAATGCGAAACTTTCTTCTTTCATACACATTCTGTTACATATCTGGAATTCATTATATAAAATTTCAGGATGTCTTAGTGAATTTTTTTAGTGGACAGTCTGAATCTGAATTTAAAATTTGATCAATAATATAGAATTATCCATACCTGGTTCAAAAATAGATGAGTGGACGCAACGCAAAGTTAATTTAAAAATCCTATCAATAATATAAAATTATCCATACCTGGTTCAAAAAGAAAATATATCGAGAGAGTATCACCAAATTATCAGAATTTAAAATCTCTAAACTCTTTTTTTGCAAGTTGCTGTTTTGAGAATCATGAGCGAAATCTGGATACCTAGGTACTATATCCATATCACTCCATACTTTTCATTTTGCAATCTTATAATACTTGGCATCCAAAGAAAACCATCCTTTTCTGTTTCAGAAATCAATAGCATCCATATCTTTTGGAAAACATTGATTAATCAATTTTTAAACTTCCAAGATGATAAAAACATTTACCTAATGACTAGACCAAGTAAAAGATAGTAGTGAAGAAAAAGGTAGAATTATATAATCTTTTATTAACACATATTTACTATATATTCTTAAGGCTTTAAATAAATAATATATAGAAAAAGGGAAAAGTTGACATTTTTTTAATAAAACTAGAGTTTTCTGCCTCGAAATTTTATGTTTTTCCTAAAACCTGTCTTTTATTATTGAATAATAAACTTAGCTCCTTTCCATAACTATTACTTGACACAAGACTTAAAAATGCAAAGTTCAATTTGGTTCAATAATCAAAAACAAATAATTATTATCCCTAGTTCGCGCCAAATCTACACAGGTTAGTGATACTGAATTCACGTCCAATAAATGAGAAAATAGAATATGTTTTATTTCATCAATTTCTTCACGAAGTTATTCATGATTTTATTCACGGCAAAATTGGATGTCAAAGTGTGCTTTACACACGTCAAATTTGACCTCGAAGCGACTTCATGAATTTCTTCATGAATTTATCGTTGGTGTAAAGCCCGTATTACACAATCTGTTGAGTGTATGTCAAATTTTATTGCTTATTTTAACTTATGTCAAAATAATACAATATTGAATCTTTTAGGAGGTTATTTAGATTTAATATTGTAAAATAATGTTGTAAATGTCAAATGTGCTGATTTTCCTTTGTTAAAGTATGATAAGTACCATCCAGCACTTTCTTTCTGTATTGATTGTGAAAAAACTGAGTTCCTTGAATACGAATATTATTATTATGATTTTAATCATCATCATCATCATCATCATCATCATCCAGCCTCTATTTATCACGACCACTGCTGGACATAGGCCTCCCTTAAACTCCTCCATTCCTCACGATTTTGTGCTCTTTGTTGCCAATTTTTAGTGATACGCCTGATGTCGTCGACCCAACGTGTAGGTGGTCTTCCTCTACTGCGTTTGTCTGCTCTTGGCCTCCAATTTGTAATTTTGCTCGTCCATCGTGAATCGTGCATTCTCGCTACATGGCCTATTATGATTTTAATAGGGCTAATTATATTTTAATAAACTGTAAGGGGGTATGTTGTTATTTTTCCCTTTAATTATCGTTGAATTTGTTCAATTATTTTTTTACTTAGGGAAAGAATGGATTTTCAATGTTAACAGGTATTTATTTAGCACTGTTCTTACATGAACAAACTGAAGATTAACAAGACTTGGATAAAAAAACACATGAAGCCTTATAACCTCTTAAGTCAAAAACATACACAACACATTACATACACTTAGGAGATTGGTTACAACCTCACCCTTTGCTTCACGCAGAGTTCCTCAAGGAGAAGCAAGAACAGCTGTGAGCAGAAGGCAACACTGGCAGGTGGGCCTCTGGACGGGATGTCCCCGGAGGCAATGACGAAAGAGTTCACTAGGAGGGTCATCCTTTGGGTCAGGTGTTATTGTGGGAAGGAGTGCCTCGGCATCTGTATGAGGCGAAGCAACGTCATTCTCTTCTTCGCATACATGGTGTTCATCAGGCGCGGCTACTGCTGTTTTGAGGGGACGTCCTCTTCTGCGAATGAGAACCAATGGGTTAGGGGGCGGACCATCATCGGTATCGGTATCAGCACGATAGGGCACAAGCGCTGATAGATGGTATTTACCGAGAGGTTCGGTTATGTTCTGTGGCAACGAAATCTCATAGCCGGTTGGGCTAACCACCTTGGTTATTATGTATGGACCATCGCGGGGCGCGGCGAACTAAGAGCATGCACGTCAACGAGCACTTTGTCCGACACATTAAACGTCATATTGGGGTTATCTCTAGTACGAAATTGTCATTTTGTACAATAGTCCGAAAGTCCCGTTGTACATCATCGGGAGTACGCAATTCGCGACTGAAGGTTAGAAACGCGACACTATAACCTGTTGACTGCAATTTAACGGAGTTCATGGAGAATCTTACAGCTAGAATTTGTTATTTCCATGATGTATGGTCAGCTCCTGTCAAAATTGCCAGTTGTGGCTTTAGATCAGGATTTTTCTATTCTACAAGATTTGCGGCTTGCCAATAAACCGGAATTAGAGTTTGTTTAAAACCTAAATAGTGCGAAACTTAGTGCATGACCGCACTAACAAACTGTGTAGCGTTATCACTAATAACGCGTCTGGGCAAACCATATCTTAAGATTACTTCGTCAACTAAACATCGGGCATAGCACTCGGCAGTAGCTGCTTTAAGAGGAAATATTTCCACCCATTTACTTGTGGTATCTTCAATAACATAGATCCACTTGTATCCGTCAGATGTCTCTGGAAGTGGACCGAATAGATCGATAGACATGGCTCGAAGCGTTGAGATTGAACAGGCGTTTGAAACTGTCCTGCTGGTTTTATATTAGATGCTTTATAACGTTGGCAATCCAAGTACTTCGCTACATAATCTATTATTGTTTTACGCATACCAGTCCAATAATATCTGCTGGCGATTCGTTGATAAGTACGTTCGGCACCATAATGTCCAGCTAAGGGTGCGTCATGGTAATCACTAACTATATTTTGTATGCGGGACTTTGGAGCGACCAACTGTGCTTCTTCACTGTTCAAATCAGGGGTGTATCTGTAAAGAACACCTTGCATCGTAAAATATCCTCGTTAACCCATTAAGGATCAGTGGTAGCTATATTTACCAGTGTTGCTAGAGGATATTTTTCAAACTTATAAGCAATGGGTATTAGACCGCAAGCACAAACAATACTGTTTTAAAGGATTTTTGGTGGAATTAAACAAAACCTGACTAGCGTAAGCCTACACCGACGTGAAGGTCGTTGGGCGGTAAACATAGCTACCAGTGATCATTTGTGCAGGGTACTTTACCGGTGTTAATATCATAGTAATTTATTCTCGTTTTTCATTAGTTTATTCTTTGAAATATCGGATAGAAACAAGTGTCTAAAATATAGTGTGAAAAACGTTTTGGCATAATAAATAGTAAGTATTATTAATTTTTAGAAGTTATTACAAACCATTTAACATTGCTAACAAACCTAACCAAATTTTTTTACAAACTTGACAAATATTTTCTATGAATAAAAAAATAAATTGAGGAATTGCATGTTGTGAGAATGTTAATGTACCTGCTAGTCTTTCATATGAAAATTAGTTTTCTTTTGTAAGTTTTTGCAAAAAGATGTTCTGGGTGAATACTGAGATAAACGTTTTTTTTTTTCAGTGAGCGAAAATACGAAAAGGCGATGGCAACCACTCTTACTGCAAGACAACTGGAAGAGCTTCTAAATAAAGGTCTGAATGATAGCGATGATGATAATTATTGCATGTCGGACTATGGAGGTAATTCTGATGCAGACGACAATATTTCATTTGTACCATCTTCAGCTAAGTGCAGCACTCGATCCAATTCAAACATAAATATTTCTTTCAGTTTAATTTCAAATATTGCTTCAACATCAAACAATCCTGAGGAGTATCAACAACCTAGGTCAACTTTGGGTTTTGGTTCTTCTGGTTCAACTTTGATTCCAATATTAGACTATGATCTATTTCATTTTAGCGAGGATTCAAAACTTAACATTGACTTTTCAGAAGGTGCCACTCCCTTAGATTTCTTCAGTGCTCTTTTCAATGATGAAATATGTAAAAAAAAATGTGGAGGAATTAAATATTTATGCAGTGCAGCTAGGAAAATCTTTAGATCTCACTGTGGAAGAACTAAAGGATTTTTTTGAAATCCTGATAATTATGGGCCTTCATACGTTACCTACGATAAAATCCTACTTATCGGCTTGTTTACATGCAGAAAGCGGTCTGGACCGAATCCTGGTGAAGTTGGCAAGCCAAAAAGGGCAAATCTGGTTGATGTTGGTTGTCATCTACCAATCAAAGGCACTTACCGTAGATGTGCTAACTGCAGCTCAAGTAAAAAACAGAAGAGGACCAATATAATTTGCCAAAAATGTGATGTAGCATTATGTAAAGAATGTTTTTCCATATATCATCAGAAATGAATGTCATCAGAAATTTAAAATAAATATTTTTCTCTTCTACAACTTTTGTTTTAGTGTGAAAGAGATGTAGCCGTTGCAATGTTTACCAGTGATTTGCAGGTGATGGCAAATACCCAAATGATCTCTGGTAGCAATATTTACTACCCCATAAAAGAAAAAATCGAAAATAATGTCGGTAATCAGGTAACTTATTACATTCTATTTGTTTTCATAATATTAAAAAATATTCGTTTTAAAAAGAACAAATGAGTTCTGGGCCTTAAAGGGTTAAGACCATCTTTTATAATCAACGGAATCGGTATCTGGGTTTTCGAAAGATTCGACGATCTTTCTCAAATCGATATCATTCATTTGTTCTGTTCTCAAATCACTGGCAGTTTGTTGAGGTAAGTCAACTTGGACAAGATTACCATCAATATTTTCGATTGGTGGACGGGATAACTTATCAACTACGATATTTAAACGTCCAGAAGTATAATCTATTTTTAAGTCATAGGCCATCAATGACAGGGCCCATCTCGAGAGTCGGTCAGATGGAGATTTGAAGGACATTAACCATTTTGGAGGCTGATGATCACTTTGTATTTTAATTTGAGAATTTTCTATATATCCTCTGAACTTATTTACTGCCCACACGACAGCTAAGGCCTCAAGTTCAGTAGTACAGTAGTTCTGTTCAGACTTTGTTAGGAGACGACTGGCGTATTCCACTGGTCTCCCCTCGGATCCCTCCCCCTGGAGTAAACAAGCACCCAATGCGTAAGAACTAGCATTGGTTCTAAGAATATAGGGTAGGTTAGGATCAGACTGTCTTAGTATAGGGCTAGAGCACAAAAGAATTTTAAGTCGGTCAAAAGCTTGAGTTTGGTTTATGGTCCAAGTCCAACGAGCATTATTCTTAAGAAGATTGGATAGAGGTTTGCTGATGTCAGCGAAATTTTCAATAAAACATCCAAACCAAGAACATGCTTGTAGTAATGTAGTTAGCTCTTTGACATTTTTCGGAATAGGTCGGTTGACAATACGGGCACCTTATTTGAGTCAAGGTTTATACCAGACGAAGTGATTACATGACCTAGATAAAGGACCGAAATATAACAGAAATTACATGTTAAACGATTTAAATGTAATTTAAATATTGTTAGCCGAGATAATACTTGCTGTAGGTCAGCGAGATGTTCACTAAATGTAGCGGATAGAATAATTAAGTCGTCTAGGTAAGCAAGTATACGAACATTAGGTAAACCAGAGCGAAATTTGTCAATAAGTCGCTGAAAGGTGGAAGGTGCATTGCGCAGTCCAAAAGGCATGCGCGTATATCGAAATGTGCCAAAGGGGCAAATGAAATCCGTCTTGTCTCTGTCTTCAAATTTAACAGAAACTTGGTAATAACCAGACTTCAAATCTAGTGTTGACATGTAACGTGTTTCTTTCGTCGCATATAATAGATCATCTATTTTCGGTAGCGGATAGACATACGGTCTAGTGATCGCATTTAACTTACGATAATCCACTGTAAGACGAGTTCCGCCATCCTTCTTCAGAACCAGTACTAAAGGCGAAGCATATGGGGACTCACACTCCTCTATGATTCCATCAGTAAGAAGTGTATCAAGCTCTTGTTTGAGCTGTGCTTTTTTATTCTCAGACATTCGGTATGGGGGAACAGCGATTGGATTTTCATCAGTTAAAGTTATATAATGGTTGGCAAAAGGCGTAGGCCCTTTGCTTGGACAAAAAACATTATCATGTTTAGACAAAACGTCATTAATTTCAGACTTTTCTGTTGGATCAAGAGAAATGGCTTCATCGTCTCTAAAATTAGATATAGATTCTCTCCTTACCTTATCTGTAATAGATGCATTTAATAATTAAAATAAAATATCAAGTTGAGCATGTTCCGAAATGGTGGATGCGCCTTGGAAACGTGACAACAACGACCGCTTTGCTGACAAAAATGTCGGTTTTTTCATTGTGACCTTGTTCTACCGCGAAAAGTTTACGATAAACTAAATCGGTTTTGGAAAACCGTATGCACGCTGGAGGCTTTCTATAGCCTCATCAAATGTTTGAATGGATGATTTAACACATTGATACCACGTTGCAGCTGAATCAATTAAAAGCATAGACAATCATCTTAACGCGTGATGATCAGAAATATCGACATCTTCATTTGGTTTTCCCGAAAACCGATGTTTACGTGCTGAGAAGTTGAAATTGAAACTACTTGCACTTTGGGCTTGATTATTAACACCTTGTAGACTTGTTATTAAGCTCTGGAGCATGTCTTGCCTCATCACTACTTGTTCAACTGTTTCTCCTTTCTGAGCCATGTTTTTAACTTTATTTCCTGATCGAAGAAACATAAACAGTTCATCAAAAGAGTAAATCGCGTAGAGAACTGAGACAACAGTATCTAATACCGATTTAAAGTCTTTACTAATACTACGGAACTGAAAACAAACCAGTATCCACTACTGAAGTCTTTTGCCACGGTTGAGGAACTGAAAACCAACCAGTGTCCACAACACATTTTGTTCACTTCAGAACGAAACACACAATTAAGTAACACTGAACTGGACTTTAACAAATGAAAAATAATTCCCCACGTTGGGCGCCAATTTGTAAGGGGGTATATTGTTATTTTTCCCTTTAATTATCGTTGAGTTCGTTCATTTATTTTTTTACTTAGGGAAAGAATGGATTTTCAATGTTAACAGGTATATATTTAGCACTGTTCTTACATGAACAAACTGAAGATTAACAAGACTTAGATAAAAAAAAACATGAAGCGTTATAACCTCTTAAGTCAAAAAAACTATTAATCCGTATGGCCCTTTTTCTAGTAGGACGCATGGCACAACATCACCAATAATACAGGATTCAGAGCAACCTACAGGGTAGGCAACATACACAACACATTGCAACACAGGTTGCATACACTTGGAAGATTTGTTACAAAACCAATTTTTAGGTAATGTAAACTGGAACAACTCGATAATATTTCAGATGTTAATAAAGCAATATCCTGTTTTTATGATATTATGTTTTGTTGCATAGATTTATTTGTACCAAAACAAAAATTTAAAAACCCAAAATGTCCAAAATCATATTCAACTAAACTAAATAATACTCTTCTGAGAAAAAAAGTAGCTCATAACAAATTCAAACAGACTAATAATTTATTATAAATTATTCTCAGACATTAGTAGAGGATGCAAAATCTCAGCTGAGCAATGTAAAAGTCAAACCTTAAAACTTTTGAAACAAAACATGAATAATTCCAAAGATTTCTCGAGTTATGTACACAGTAAAAATAAACATTATGACTTACCAAACAACATGACCGATGACAACAATGAGTCAGAAATTTCAATTTTTTTTTAAACAGCATTTCGCTATGTCATATGTAGATAACAATAACTGTGATGTTCCAAGCTTTGATTATAATAAAACAATTAGTTTAAGCAGCTGTGACATCAGTTTAATAGACATTTTTAATAAGTTAGAAAAATTAAATCTAAAACTTGGTGGTGGCTCTGATGAAATTTCACCTTATTTTATACATAAATCTCGTTTTGTTCTGTCTCCTGTATTACTAAATTTTTTTTGGTTTTTGTTAAGTACTGACACTTTCCGAGAAGAGCGGAAAAGAAGTAATATTTCTCCTATTTTTAAGAATGGTAGTAAAACATGTATAGAAAATTACAGACCCATTTAAAAAATTTCTATTTTTGCAAAGATTTTTAAGTCAATTATTGTTTTAATAATATTTTTTCCAGATAAAAGTTTAATTATTTCTTAACAACATGGCTTTATGCCGGGTAGGTCTACAACCACAAATCTAGTGATCCTAGAAGAATTCATTTTGGATGCCTTTTGGAAGGGGGCTCAGGTCAATGTGACCTATACCGATTACTCAAAGGCATTCGATCGGGTTAAGATCAAGGTTCTTATAAAAAAAACTAGAAGCACTAGGAATTCATGGATCCCTGCTTGAGTGGTTGGAGACCTACATGACAGACAGGCTTCAGGTTATCAAAGTCAAGAACTGTCTTCCTGAAGAGTGATCATTTATCGACTATTCTTTTAATTTGTTTTATAAATGACATTTTCGAAATCTTTGAAAATTGTGTTATTTTGTTGTATGCTGGTGATTTAAAATTTTTTGGAATTATTAAGGATGTTAGAGACTGTAAAAATGTAAAAAGATGTAAACAATTTCTCACAATGGTGTATAAAGAATGAGCTTTCACTTAATAGAGATTTTTTAAGCCCCTTATTTCAGTAACCTTAAACGCCATACGTTATTCTGCTTATGCGCATTAACACAAAGATAACGGATTACTTTATTAGCGGATAAGGTATTCCCTTATTTAGGTAAAGATAAGGTTAATGTTATTAAGGGATTACGTGTTTGTAACTTTGTGAAATGCCAGATATCTAAATCATAAAAAACAAAAAAAAGTCATATGAGCAGAACCAAAGATAACTAGAATAAAAAATATAGTAATGATGTTTAAAATTCTAATCAAAATTCGTTTTTCTTAAAAGGGTCAGTTAATAAACAGATAATATAAACTGCTTGGCAACCCTGTTAGAATATGACACTTGATTGAATTGTGTTGTTAAACCTCGTGTGGTGATTGTTTTGTTTTTAATTTTAAAGTTGTTTGTTAAAGCGTTAAAGTCTTTGGTGAAGCATTCAGAATTTTTAATAATGGAGTGTGAAAGAAAAAGCACATTATATCCAAATATAAATATTTTAACCCGGTATCTGGTTTTATTGCTCTCAGGCAACATCACCTTTATAAGCTCCTAAGTCAGTTTCTACTATATATAGCTGCTATGTGACAATGATAAATGTAAGCACAAGTCCTGTTTGTTATATAAAACTGGCGGCGACGTCTAACATTCAATTGAGATTTAAAAAAAATGAATTTGAGTACATAGGATACCAGTAGAGCTCTACGAGTAAGTGAGTGTGTCATAATTTTTATTGCCAAACGTTTGTTAGGAAAATTCTGAGGTTAGCTCAGAGATGAGTATGAAGATAAAAATATCGTGTATTGTTTCTGTCGACCCTAATCTCTCCGATTTGACTAAAACGACGACGTATGATGAAGATATTGACAACATCAATATAAATAAAATTGTCGCAGACTCAGATGAAGGGTGACATGAAAACCATTCCATTCAAAAATTTGACTATAGACAATAATACAGTAGAGGTAGCCTTGCCTCTTAAGAATACCAAGAGGAAGAATATTGTATATCAGATGAATTTATACAGTACGCAAAAAACTGGGGTAAGTCTCATCACAAACACTTCCGAAATAAGAGACTTTTTCTACATTTTGATTTTATGGGGGTAATAGAGCTACCAGTAATAGAAGATTATTGGGTCACTTCACAAGAATTCCTCTTGTGAACTAGCTAGGTACTTGTCCAACGCTGGAAAGATCAAAGTAAAGCGAGGCCGTCCATCAAGTACGCAAAAAACAGATAACCTAATTCGCCATCCTCTTGCTATATCACCTGTTGATGCTACCAGACCTGATACGTTATATCACTTTATACCGCCAAATAAAGATGTACATTTTATAAAACTGGCTATACAACGGTGAAGTTTGAAAAATGTAACGTGCGGCTTTTTTTTTACACCGCACAAAAATTGTTTTTTATCATTTGATTATTAGATTTAGGCCTATATTTATAATTTTTTAGTGTTAGATGCTTTATATGTAAAAGTTTTTTTTTTATTAAATCAATAAAATTTCTTTTAGTTAAACAGTTCTTTACATATGATTCACTAAATTTTGAGATCTTCATTAGTGAAGTTGGCACCAAACAGTGTTTCTTGACTGGCAATGTTGTTTCTAGGCAACGAATTCAAAAACCGCTTTCCCCTTGCTACTTTTGTACCACAGGGTGTTATTGAGTGTTATATAAGATTATGTACCCAATAAAATAATTTTACGACATCTATTTTTCGTGTTGTCAGATACCGGGTTAAAGAAAAGACAAAGATTTTCGGATCACGATGATTTAACTCTTTTAAGAAAAGTTCTTCGATATAACCCATTTGTAGATAAGAATGGGTTGAATATAATCCAAGAATATTTGTTTAGTGTTACTGCCAAACAATTTGGTATAAGAACACTGAAAGATCATTTGGAACGTTTAATTAAATCATGGTTTCAAGGATATAAAATTTTACGTGACAAGTAAGTAGTATTTTATGAATTTGGGGAATGAATGAAATGCTAAAATTTGTATTTTGCATTTATTTTAATTATAGATCTGGCATAGAAGTCACCGAAACAGAAAAAGATCTTTTGTGTCACAACATATTTGATGGAAGAATGAAAAGCCTCTAAAATTAAAAATTTAAACCACAACATTTGGACAAACAAAAAGGTGTTTCTCGCATTCTCAGCGAGAAACAAATGGACATTATTGCAAAGTCCAAATTCACACAAACAAGAAGCTTCTATAATTGATGCAATTGATCATGATTATGGAAGTAAGTATAGTAATATTTATTCTATACATTAGAGTTTTTGCAAAAATAATGAGTGCATTTAGAGGATGTTCACTGGTGTCACAGATACAAGAAGTGTTTATAAAAACAGCTGATATTCCCTGAATCTATCCAGTTATTGTATGACAAATAAATAAAATGTATTATTCAACTCAACTTTTAATCCTTTTTATTTTTAGACATAACAAAAATTGTAGAAGAAAGAATTGTATCTGATGCAGAGACAGATCAAATTTATTTGGAATGTATCACCATGGAAGGGGGCACATGTAAGTTATCAATTATAATTATGGTCAAACAAATACAATTACATATATTCTAGATACAGCTGATGCATTACAAAATGAAACTCCAAAAAAGAAAGATGTGAAAGAATTGCCTGGTCCCTCACAAGTTTCTAAAATAGCAGGTGAGTAAATTGAAGTTTCGTTAGAAATTTAGAAGATTTATAAAAATCGTGATTAGTAAAATGTAGTAAATGTAGAGATACATTTTTATTTAAATTTAAAAGTTTTATGTAAAATGGGTTGGATGATTTAGAGCTACTACACTTATTTTTAAGATTATGGGTAATTTCTTTACCTTACCAACTAATTTTTTTAGGTCCCATAATATCGAGAAAAAGGAAAATAAACAGCCAAAAGCAAGGGTTAGAATATTTACACCAGTACTACGAAAAACAATTTGAATTAAAGAAAAAAGAATTAGATATAGAAGAAAAAAAATTATTATTAGAGAAGAGAAAATGTGAGATAGCCGAAAGGCAATGTGCAGTTCAAGAATTTAAAGTGAAGAAAAAATTTGAACTGGAAGAAAAAAAATTAAATTGTGAAATTGAAAATAGAAAATCATTGAATGAAATTATAGAAAGACAGGAAAAGCTTATAAATATTTTAATAAATAAATTGTCTTCTTAAATGAAATTTGTTTTTTATTTTATTTGCAAAACATTTACACAAGTTATTTAATTAAAACATAATTAAATTATTATATAATAAAACCTTGTAATATACTGTAATGCTTATTTACAGACTTGCCATTTTATTTACAAATTAATTTAAATGTAGCTTAAACTATTAAAACACAATGTGATTACCTAAAAAGGTGGTTTTGATCTTATTAAAAATACTATTATTTGCATTGCTATACTATTATTGCTATACTATTGTTGCAATACTATTATTTGCATTTCTACAAACAATGTAAATTTCATTTACAGGTATTCTCAATTTAAAAACAATAAATCTTAAGAACTTTTTCTGTACTCTTTCTAATAGATCTTTGTAGCATTTATAATGAGGAGACCAAATATTGCTACCATATTCCAAAACCGATCTAATAAGGGAACAGTAAATACTTTTGAGACAATCTACTTCTTCTTCAAGTTCCACTCCTATCGGAGATTGGAAATTATTCTGGCAATTATAATTTTATTGGTTACTCGCCTGAATAGTTCAATTGAACTGCATCCAAACCATTCACGGAGATTGCGTAGCCACGAGATTTTACGTCTTCCTACGCTTCTTCTACCTTTGATTTTACACTGCATTATATTCCTTAGTAGTTCGTACTTTTCACCTCTCACTATGTGCCTCAAGTATTCCAATTTCCTGATTTTTATGGAATTTAAAACTACGTATTGTTTTCCTAGTTGTTCGAGAACTTGTTCCTTTGTTTTGGGATCCATCCATGATATTTTCAATTGAGACAATAAATATTATCAAATTCAGAGAGGCTAGGTTTCATGAAACCTAAAAGTTTCATGGATCTATTAGAAACGTAAGAAGAGTGGTCCCTGAAGCTTACTCTAAGGTCAAAAACTACCCCAATATCCTAATGGCGCTACAACCCTTTGTAAGTCTTGGCCTTCTTAACAATGTTCTTCCATTCTGCCCTGTCAGATACTTTGAAAGCAGACCATAAACATCAGGCAGTGTTTTAAGATCTCTCTCTATGTTGTCTATCCATATTTTATGGGGCCTTCCTCTTGTTCTGTTCCCTTGGGGCTTCCATCTCTGGACAACTTTTACAGCTCAATTATCTGGCATTCTTTCTAGGTGACCAAGCCAGTTTAGTCTTTGTGGCTTTACAAATCTAACAATATCTGCACTCTGCATTAGTTCATCCAGTTTGTGGTTCATTTAAAGTCTCCACGAACCATTTCTGCGTTGAGTTAATCCAAATATCCTCCTTAGTATTTTGTGCTCAAATATTCTCAGTTAATTTCCATCAGTGGTTGAAAGGGTCCACGTTTCACATCCATATGTGACCACTGGTCTAATTACTGGTTTGTAGATTCTAAGCTTAGACTCACGATTTAGTAAATTACTTTTCGTTAAGTCTTTGTATGCATAAAATTACTTATTACTGCTAAGAATCCGTACTTGTATTTCTTGACTGATGTTGTCATTTATTATTGAGCCTAGGTAGGGAAAAGTGGAGGCATATTTGTAGGTATGGTTGTCCACTTTCAGATTCTGATATTGATTCGATTTTGTGCACTCCATATATTCTGTTTTGCTTTCTATATATATATATATATATATATATATATATATATATATATATGTATATAATATATATATATATATATATATATATATATATATATATATATATATATATAGACCAAACGTAGCAGCTTCTCGTTTCAGTTCTATAACTTTTTTGCTTAATACGCTTTTGTTGCATCATCCACATATGCGCATATTTGCATTGATCTTGCATTAATACAGCCATTTATATGCAGTTTTCTAACAACAGCAACACCTTGTATTGCACCTCACTACTCTTTTGAACCCCATTGAACATCACATAAGAGAAAATAATTAGAGAGTCAAAAGTCAACACCAGAGAAACAATAATAACAAAAAGTGTACAAATATTGGCATTTGCAGATGACGTTGATATTATAGCTAGAAGCAAAAGAGAGATGATAGAAAAGTTTAATGCAATAAAAAGAATGGCACAAAACAGTGGCCTAAACATTAATGAAATAAAAACCAAATACATGAAGGCCAGCAAATCGACAGGCCAAAGAAACCTACAAAATCTGACAATAGGAGACTATAACATCGAAAGGGTGAAAATTGTTACATATCTAGGTTCACTAGTTACCACAGATAACAATTTTATTGAAGAAGTTAAAAAAACACAGAAGAAGAAGAATACATATCGCTAATAAAACATATAATGGACTAATTAAACATTTCAGATCTAACATCACAAGAAAAACCAAATGCAAAATATACAAAACCCTGATAAAACCAGTCCTTATATGTAGATCAGAGACATGGGCACTGTCGAAAAGCGATGAGAACCTATTAGGTACTTTTGAACGACAAATCCTTAGACACATATATAAGGGTGTAAAAGAAAATGACATGGCGCAGAAAATATAATTTTGAACTATACACTGCATACAATGAACCCGAGGTCATAACATCCATAAAGATTGGGCATTTGCGCTGGATGGGCCATGTTAAACGGATGTTGGAGACTAAAACACCAAAACATATAATGAGGCAAACACCAGTAGGATAGGAACATAATGGCGGAAAATTCTAGAACAAGCCTGGACCCATAAAGGGTTGTCGAGCTACTGATGATGATATATTTATGGTCATTTATGTTTCTCCACTGCTTAAACTAGTCATCAATTATTGGTTCTAGATATTGTTCCAAAGTGGGTGATAGTATGTTAAAAATCTGACTGGACTGACTACCATATAAGCAAGTATGGCAGTTTGTCCAGAAATGCAAATTCTTAAATAACTTTTTGAACACTCCACTCAACTGCTTGTCTTACAGCGAACATTAAGGAATTAAAGTTTTGTTGTAATTCATTGACATCTTGTTCTGGATAAGGACACAATAATAGTTCCCGAACACCATATTTAAATCTTCTAAAACATATCCAAAATTGTCATATATATGTTTACAAATAACATTGCATATTTCCGACAAAGCTGATGGGGATCTTTGAAAAACATACTCCAAATCGCATAATCAATTAGGATATGCTAACCTACGGAGAAATATACAAATACCTTCAATTCTTAAAATAATAAAATTACTATTAAAATGTTTCTCAAACAAAACAAACTGAAAAAATTCATACAAGAAGCTATTAATATTATTTGCCTGTTACTACATGGCCAGATTTGATTCTAAAATTATTTGGAACACGTAAATACTGAGCTAGTTGAGGAATATCCTTTTTCTTAAATCGAAAATTTAGTTCAGCATCTTTCTCTTCAATTGTTTCCAACACAAAACGTGGTCTTGGCGCAACAATTATTACGGGATCAAAAATATTATGCAAAATTAAGCCTCCTATCAAATTGTGATCTATTACTTCTCCGTGTCTTCGTCGTCTTAATATGTTCAATATTTTCTTCCATTATAGCAAATAATTCAAATAAAATAGGTTATAGAGTATAACGTGGTATAACCAAAGAATACAATAACTGCCGTTTTTACGTTCGTCAAATGTCAATTAACGTTAATCTGTCTCTGTCATATCTCTCTGAAAAGATTCAAAAACTATCTTAGGTAAAAACGTTATCCCTTATTTATTATTTGAGGCTCATGACAAGTATAACGTTTTACCTTTAACGTACATCAAAAAGAAAAGTGCTTAAAAACTCTCTAATGTCGATAAATGTAAAATAGTGCGCATCGATGTCTATTTTTTTACCCTAATTTCCAATAAAAAAAATTCAAATTTAAACACTGGTCCTTCGTATATAGCTGGATTATGCAAAAAAAGAAGTTTACTAGTATATAAAAGTGAGAACGAGAATCACACAGCACGCCATTCAAGCAAGGAACAATTAAGGTCAGTCCATTCCATGTTCATACCAATTCATACTATCATTAAACCTTTAAAATATCAATATTCATTCTTTCCTAACCATTTACATGATCTAAGATTGAGCTTAGAGAGGAAATTTTATGACAAAAGAGCTAAATATTACCGTAAATATAGAAGACGCAGTGAAACTAGGAGATAAAACATGTTTAGTCAGACTGCCAAACAAAGAAAAAACAAAAATTATGGAAAACAAAAGTAAACTTAAAAAAGTGAAAAAAGAAAAAAATATATAAACAATGATTTAACGACAGAGGAATTACAAATACAGAAGGAAATACGAAGTATAGCAAAAGATATGGCAATAGATGGTCTAGAAAGGAGATGGAATAGAAAATCCAACCAGCTGGAGGACCATCATGGAGGTGGTTAAAAAAACTAGCAAAGGATGAGAGGATGCATTATTCGTTGACGGACGAGACACAGAATCAGGAAATGACTGCAGATAAACCCGGGTACAACAAAAGTGAAATAAAGAAAGATGGACAAGAAAACAAAAATAAAAGACGAAGACAACAGAACAAAAAAAATAAAGAGTTGAAAATAAGCACATGGAACATAAGAACTATGCTAGCTTCAGGAAAAATGCTAGAAATAGGAAAAGAAATCAAAAAGTATAAAATAGATATTGCAGCACTGCAAGACTTACGCTGGGAGGGACAGGGACAGTTTGATAAACAAGATTTTACAATGTTATATTCAGGAGGAAAGAAGCAAGGGCAAAAAGGCGTGGGATTCATGATAATAGGTACCTAAGAGAGGAAATTATAAATTCCAAGCCAATATGCAAAAAGGATGGCCTATGTTAGAGTCAACAGCAAACCATTTAATATATCAGTCTTGAATTTATACGCCCCCACAGAAACAAGCAATGCAGAGGAAAAAGAAATCTTTTATGATAAGGTCGAAGAGGAGATAGAAAAAATACCCAAAGAAGATGTCATATTTGTACTAGGAGACCTCAACGCCCAGATTGGAAAAGAGGACTTTTTACAACAAATTGCAGGAAATCATACAATACACGAAAACACGAATGACAATGGG